AAAAAAAAAAAATTTAACTTAGGAAACAGAGTGGAAGCCGAGGAAGCTACCATTGGCTTAGGTTTATGTTCTGTGGATAGTGAGGTTAGTCAAGTGAATGATATGAGACTTAATGGACTCCAAGAAGTTTCCCTTAAGACTACACAATGATCTGGAAGCTCTGATTTTGGAAGAGCCGGGCAGAGTGTGGAGGACCTACAATAGCCCAGCCCTCCTGGGTATCCCTGTCTTCCCTTCCCAGAGCTCAGGTTAAGGCAACATGCATTCATTAAGCACAATTACTATAGCCAGGCCTGGGGCAAATTCTGGGTACTCACAATAGAACATTGCTTTTGTTAAACTTGAATTAGCAAACTAGTTAAGGAAGCCAGTGAAAAGAAAGGACAATGGAATTTTTCAGTAAAGTTTGAGCAAGCCTACCTTTTGAAAGATGATCCACACCTGATCCATTTTCAAAGGATACAAAGATGGGTCAGACAGGGATAACAATCATTTGGGCCTTCCCAAGGTAGTAGTAGGGAACACATCTATGTGGCAGATAGATACACAGGTACAAGAAAGTATGAATACGCTATTGTAGAAACTCAGATGAGGGAAAGAATCTGCATCTGGGGAAGGACTTGAAAGAAGGTGCATTTGATTAGGTTCTAAATGAAGGAAAAACAGGTTTTGAGCTAGCCTAGTGCAGACAATAACCAGTGATGGGAAAGCAAGAATTAAGGAAGTAGTATTTTTTATTTAACAAAAATTTTATGGGACAACATTTAAGCTCAATGCCTATAAGGGGTAGATTTCAGTGGTAAGTGATGCTTTTTTTTTTTAATTTTTTTTTTTAAGATTTATTTATTTATTCGTACAGAACTGGGATACAGGTCAGAGATGCAGAGGGTGAGAGGATTCACCAGAGACAGAGTGGGGAGCAGAACAGGCAGATCTACGAAGTACACTGCTGAGGAGAGCAGCGGGCGGGTCAGGAGAGGTCTGCCTCGCCATGTAGTCACCTCGGGGGCAGGCGGGAATCGAACTCATGCAGAGGTGGCTTTAGTTTCTTAGTGCTGTGCTTTAACCCGCTGTGCCACCAGGGAGGGCCAGTGATGCTTTTTTTTAACCACATGAATGGTTATACTTCTTTATAAGGTTGTTTTGATTACAAACACTTTCCAATTATTGTTCCAATCCACCATTGAAAATCCTGCTTTTAGGTTTCTATCTTATATTGTTTTAGGTGGACATTCATTATAAAAAGAAATGGAAATATCACTATTGAATAGATGGGCTCTAAAATAGTACTCACATAATTTTGTGCTGTAATAAAGTCAAGTAAATAATTTTTATAACTATAAATTTTTACAACTATATATTTTCATTTCCCATAGAGGTGTGGGGCACTTTTAAAATTAATGAGAGATTTACAAACGACCTCTTAAATTCATCCTCTGCCCTATACTCCAATTATACAACGGAAATTGAACTTAAAGTAAGCACTTTCTAATTATTAAGTTGTTGACTAAACCTAAGTTCAGATGTTTTCAATTCAGCATGTTTAATATATATTCTTAATTATTTATTTTCAATGTGTTATTATTATAGAGCAGTTAATTGCTTTTTTCATAACTGATGTACTTTGAGTATTTTCTTTCTTTGAGAATTTAGCAGTTGACTTCTCTCCATTTGTGTGGTGGCCAATTCTGCATATTTATTTGGGCAATACTGTACCAAGACTTCTTGTCTATTTTATGTTTTTTTTTAATTGTTAAAAGAAAATTTTTAAGATTTAAGCTCAACTATTAATATTTGTGATTTGTTCCACAAAGAATTGTCTCTTGTAAGTAGCAAAAGAGAATTATTATTGAGCAAACATTCTGGACTTCATGATTGAAACCAGTTAATGTTAGTCAAGGTACTTCTTCCTAGGATGATAGAGCAGGTGTCATTCCAACAGAAATCATCACAGGTACTTCACAGGTACAGAAAAATTTAGCCTCAGTGTCTATAGAAATTAATGCTTATTCTTGGACAAAATAGATTTTGAGTGAACTTACTATATTATTTTGTACCAAATTTATCCTTTAAGCAGTTGGTTCTTGCTTCCTTATTACCACCCTGAAAATTAAACAGTGTGTGTGTACAATTTTAGCTTTCATTTTAACCACAGTTTTATAATATTCTGTGTCTATTTCTTAGCTCAGTCCCTCCATTGTTTTATTTATTGACTTCACCTTTTTTTTTTTTACTCATATTTTTTCCTTATGTGGGGACAAAGATCAATATATTATCTTTTGTTCTTTTTGTAAGCTTAAAGAAGCATACATAGGAATTCAAGGTTTTGAGTCAGTGCATGTCTCCCAGTTTCGGTAAGTAATACAATGAACTTTGGAAGGTCACTGATTGATTCCCTTGTGTATTAGTTGTGCAGAATGTTTAGCACTGTTCCTGATGACCTTGACAGAAAACAGGTTATCCATAGTCTTTCTAGTAGGATTCTTAGTAAAACAGGAGAAAAGTCTGTGACACTTAAGAAGTCTATGGTAGAAAGACTAGTTTTCATTTAAATGAGTCAGGAACTTGATTATTGAATGACTCAAAGCTACAGACCAGAGACTTGACTTACTAGCACACAGTAGTAAGGCAGAACTTGGAAGGAAGCAGAAGGTTATTATGTTCCTGTAACGGCAAGAGCGAGGGATGGAGATTGGGGTCATGATGTTATATAACTTGGGGCCAAAAGGGAGAGTTGGGTGAAATATATATTTATGTAGATAGCATGTGTACACTGTAGTTCCAAACCTGGTATTCATTGTCTACAGCAAATAAAGTGATATTTAGTAAATTACCCTTTTGTTGATGCTTTAATTCCAAAGTTAGTTGGTTAGCTAGTCATGTGTGTATCGGTTACCAACTTTTATTTGTCTGCTTGATAGAAGTGGCTTAGAGGTCAGAAAATTTGACATCTTACATATTTTTTTTTCACAATTATTTTTAACATATGCTATAGAAAATTTTCAGCAGCATTTCCTATAAATATACTCTTCTCAATATTATTCTGTAAGTCATCTGGTGTTCTTATATAAAGGTCCATAGAGATAATTTTTTTTTTCTAATTCGGCATTAGGAAAAAGTATAGCTTTATTTAAGTAATAAGATCTACATAACTAATTGTATTTCCTCTTAACTTGATTCTTATTAAACTCATGGACACAATTGAAATTCAATATTTTGCAATTGAGCATTCTATCAAAACTTATTCAACATTTATATTTTTCTATTTCTTGATCCTAATTTTCTATTTCTGTTTCTAAGTCACATTCCTTCATGTGTGTTACAAGCTGTCTCCAATAGTTTGTAAAAAAATCACAGCAAAAAAATAGGCTTAGGGTCTTCCCTGGTGGTTCAGGGGTTAAAGTCTCAGCACTATCAAGCTATCAACAGCCACAATGACATGAGCTCAATCCTCTACAACCGCCACCAGCTGCTTCCCCTCAGTAGTGTATTTCAGTAGATCCACCTGTTCTGTTCCCAGTCTGTTCCTGGTGAACCCTCTCCCCCCACACCCCTCATCCTATGCCCTAGTCCTTGAATGCATAAATAAAGTAAATCATTTTTTAAAAGGCATAAATCTATATAATATAAGCATTTATATTTTACTTTTACATGTATGATTTCAAGTAAATCTTAATCTTTCATTATCTAAATTTACTTATCTAAAAGATTATTAATGTCTCTGTAAGTTGATTTAACTTTATGAAATGCAATGAAATAATAGACAGAGAAATACTTTATAAACAATTTTCTAAAACAAGATAGAATAGCTATATAAATGCAAAGACATTGGAACCATCTCTACATGATGGTTTTTGCAGTCTAAATCTTCTATTTGATTTTTAGATTATGAGTGGCATTCACATAATATCTTGAGCTTGGAACATCAGAGGCTTTAATCCATTAATTAATAATTGATAATTTACCAGCACAATTTGTCTTTCTAACTCAGTTTCCATATCTCCAAAACAGATAATACAGTGTTTACCCAATAAAGTTACTGCGGGATTAACTTTTTTTTTTAAGATTTATTTACTTATGCAAACAAGAAGTGGGGTACAGGCCAGATATATGGTAGGGGGTGAGAGGATTCACCAGAGACAGAGTGTAGAGCAGAATAGTTAGGTGGACTGAAATATACTGCTGAGGGGAGCAGTAGGCAGGACAGAAGAGATCTGCTGTGCCATGTGGGTCAGCTCCCTGGCCTGGGATGGAACTCATGCTGCACTGGCTGCAGATAGCTATAAAGCTTTAACCCCATTGCACCACTGGGGAGGGCCCTGCAGGATTAACTTATTAATTAACAGAATCTCAATGACTTTCATGGATTAAAGGACCATCTTTATGCTGAAAGTTTCTAAACCTATTCCTTGATTTTGGCTTCTCTCCTACACTCCAGTCCGGAATTCCCAACTGTCTATTTAACATTGCCTCTTGAAAATTCACTAGCATGTTAGATGTAACATATCTAAAGCAGGGTCTCTGCAATTTGCCTCACCCTAATTTTTTTCTATATTTACTTATTTATGCATACAGAATTGGGGTACACACCAGAGGTGCAGGAGTGGTAAAAGGATTCACCAGAGACAGAGTGGAGAGCAGAACAGGTAGATCGACGAAGTATACTGCTGAGGGGAGCAGCGAGCTGGTCAGGAGAGGTCTCCAAGCCATGTGTGTCACCTTTGGGGCAGGCAGGGAGTGAACTCAAGCTGAAGTGGCTTTAGCTTCTTAGTGCTGTGCTTTAACCCGCTGCACCACCAGGGAGGGCCCTCATCCTAACTTTTAACTGATTTCTCACTGTCTTCCTCAGTACAGGAATGCTAGTCTTTCATTTGTATAAACACAAAATTCGGAGTCTTGTTTTAATTTATTTTATGAAGGTGTAATTTACATACAGTGATAAGCTCAAACCTTAAGTGGGCAGTTCAATCAATTTTGACAAATACTGTACAAACCAACTCTTATCAAGACAAAACATTCTATCAACTCCAAATTTCCCTTTGTTCCTTCCCAGTTAATCTTTATACTCATCTTTCCCTTCTTCAAAATAACCACCGATCTTACTTTTATCCTCATAGGTTAGTCTTGCCTATATTAGAACTTTCTACAGATGAAATCACCCAGTGTAATGTTTTGTGTCTAGCTTCTTTCAGACAGCCCAAAGTCTTTGAGATTCATCCTTGCCTTTCTAAGTTCCCATTTTTGCTTCCTTTTCATTGTTCAGCTCTACTCTGTGTTACAAATATACTACAATCTGCTTTTCTATTCTTGAATCCTTCTTGACTGATTTCTTTCTCCCACACCCAAAAGTTGCTCCATTAGTGAGCCCTCTGGCTCTATGTTCAAAAGCAACATGTATCTGGCTACTTATTACCACAAGTGCTATTACCCTACTAGTTCCAGCCACTGCCACCTCTTTCCTGACTAGTCTTCCTGTTTCCCACTCTTCAATCTGTTTTCTATACAGCAGCCAAAGTGATTCTCTTAAGTTGGAAAGATGATCATTTCTACTCCCTTGTTAACAAAGACCTTTTAATAAAAAAATAAAATTCAAGCTCTAAGGTCTTCTATTTTCCAGCTCTTGAATATCTCTCTAATATTACCTCCTACTCACCTCTCTCTTACTCACTGACTTGGGGTCATGCTCATCTTACGTTTGTCAAACTCATGGCATTTTCTTGCCTCAAGACCTTCACATATGCTGTCATGTTGCACCAGTGTTCTTTGCATTGAACTCAACCTGTAAGTCTCAATTTCAAAGACCCTCTGAAGAGAGAATCCCTTCCTGACCAAACTTATTAGAAATTAGCCTCTTACAACTCTACTTCAAAACACTTAATAATATTTTTAATTAATTTAAATTATGGTGATGCAATGGGTTAAAGCATGGTGTTATGAAGCTGTCTGCAGCCACTGCAGTGCGAGTTTGATCCCCAGCCAGGGAACTGACCCACATGGCACAGCAGACCTCTCCTGACCTGCCTGCTGCTCCCCTCAGCAGTATATCTCAATCAGTCTCCAGGTTCTGCTCCCCACTCTGTCTCTGATGAATCTTCTCACCCCTTGCACCTCTGGCTTGTACCCAGTTCTTGTATGCATAAATAAGGTAGATTGATAACTAACTCTTAAAAAATGTAATTATATATGTAGAAAGATTTCTCTTTCTCATGTGCCTAGTATTCTCCATGGAGGTAGAGACCAAATCACTTTGTTTTATTCATAAAGCTCCAATGCGCACAGAGTAGCCCCTGAATGGTTTAGTGAGTCAATATCATTTTTCTTCCCATAATCATTACAGGGGTGGAAGTATCATTGCTGGGTATGAAGTCATTGGTTCCAGCAGCACATCTGAGCTGCTGTCAGCCATTGAACAGGTGGCTGAAAAGGCGAAGGCAGGCCTTCAAAAGCTGTTTCCACTGGAAGATGGCTCTTTCAGAGTGTTTGCAAAAGGTAATGCTGCATTCACACCCTCTGTTTAACTTGAGAGTCCTTTAGTTAGTAGCCCTTGCACCTCTTCAGAAAGTAGCTTAAAGAAGTTTTTCATACAGAATTGTTTTAAAACTGACTTTGCTGAAATACTCCCCTTCCCAACACCTCCATCCCCACACGGACAGTGATGAAACTTGATTCTAACTTAGTATTTCAGAACCCTGGTAATCCCTGACCTGATCCCTACCTTTCTGTGTAAACATTGTGGAAGATTAATTTTACTGCAGGCTCTGAGGGAAATGATTCAGCAGTAGTTTACTGGCATACATGTTGAAATAGCTCTGGGACTGACATATTTCTAAATCATAACCCAAGGAAAGAATTCATGCATGCAGGTCTTTAATACACCCACACACCCACACGCACAACCACACCCACACACCACATGGGTTCACATGCACACCCATACTCTAATTTTTTTCTTCACGTATATTTCTTTTCCTTTCCCCCTTTTAATTCAAGCTTAAACCTTTCTACCAGAATTCATGCCACTTCTTTTCCCAACAACAATTATTCATCAAATATTTAGTATCCAAAATATCTAGGCAAAAATCACAACCCTTGTGGATTTTTCCATTCAGGTCCATTTTCCATCCCAATCATGGTTAGAATCTGTTATTAAGGGTCAGCTGCAAGAGGAACAAGTGACTGGTCACAATGTCAGAAGCTATTTTAAATGGGTTCAAAAGGACCTATCATCTGCACATACAATTGCCTGTCATTCCATAGTGTTTCAAAGATCTCCCAGCATTCCTTTGAAGAGTGAAAATATTTACTGGGAGTGATATAATATTTTTACCTTATACTTTCTAGTTGACAGCCCATTAACTGTGAAGTGGTTTGTGCACATTAGGCAATGGGCATAGAGATTATCCTGGGTCATGGGAAGGGGCAGTGGGACATCAGAAATGATCAAGTGAGGCTCAAAGACCAATTTCTCCAACTCCTGAATTGTTTCTGAGTTTTGTCTTCAAAAGTAATATTTCAAAGGCACTGTCATGGTTTACAGAGTGCAACGATATTCGAGAGACACAGTCCTCTTACATTTCCATTCTTTTCCAGCCCACTGTAACAGCATTGTCTTTGGATTTGGCTCCAAGAATGATGAGTATACTCTTCCCTGTAGCAGTGGCTACACTGGGACCATTACAGCCAGATGCCAGCACTCTGGGTGGCAGGTCCTGAGGGAGACATGTGTGCTCTCTCAACTGGAGGAACTCAAGAAGGTAAAGAATTTTCACCTTGCAGATTTCCCCCGGTTTTGAGTTTCACAGTAGACATCTCCCAGTTAGCATAACAAGATAGATTGATAAAACTGATGCATTGACCAGGACAAAGAAGTTGGGGGTGACATCAGGCTCTTGTAAACCCTCAAAATGTGGGCATGAGTAGCCAATCTAAGTGACAGCTGAGAAGTTCGGGAAATGCAGTTTTGCTGCAGAACAGTGAATCAGTGAAGAGGTCTCGGAGAGATGGTATAAGGATGAAACATAAGGAGGCATCAGATCTCCAAGAAACCTTGAAATCAAGCATCCAAGTGAAAGTGCCAGAGATTTAGTGTATTTGAGGGAAATTAAAGAAGGGAGTAAGGCAGTCAGAAATGACCAAATAGAATGACAGAACTGAAATGCATCTTAAGGGTTACCTTGGTTACCAGCTTCCTTTCAGAGATCAGGAAGTAGAAGACAAAGAGTCCCTCTGATAACAATAGTGTTGAACTAGAAGCATGGCCACTGAATTTCCAGTCCCAGGTCATGACCTCCACGTGATATTCACTTAGTAAGATTCATGCACTTAAGACAAAATAGGTAGAAAAGTGGGAACAAGTGGCAAGGAGTTAGAATATGAGTTGCAGGAAAGTAGGTCTCTAAGACCATATCAAAGACATGAGTCTGCAAACAGATCTCCACCTTGAACAGAAATATCCCAGACACCCTGCTACAGTGCCAGAAAGTCCTAGAACAGTATTTACCAAGAGCCAATAAAATGTTTACTTTTCCTTTAGTGGGCCTATCTTGCTTTCTTTGCCTCAGTATTAGACACACGTCATAACTAGACAGTAGCTGAACATGAATCTACATTTACCTCAGGGTGTGGGGGCAGCAATACTGGTGCCTAGCCAGAAAATGGCCCTCTCAGTGAAGAAGAGCAGAAAGAGAAATAGGTGGGAGCTGGGCTGTGGACTGGCTGGTTTTGATGGGAAAGGGATCTGCCTTCTATGTTGCCTTCCAAACTAGCCCTATTTAGTGGATAGCGGAAGTGTCTCAAGGAAGAGGTAAAGTGTACAGTGACAAAGTGTAGTCACATCTCTGTACATGTGGCTCTAGCTTGTACCCTGCAAGGATTTCTCAGTGCAATTAATGGAGATAAACAAGGGCTTAGGATCAGTAGACTTCACCTTACCATTTCCTAGCAGGGAAGTCACTAAACATAAGTTTCTATATAATAAAGCCGATAATTTTTATGGAAATATCTTCTAATAGTTCATCCCCCAAAGGGGAATAAAGGATTAAATCAGTGAATCCCTGGGGAAGTATCTAGGGCTGTGTCTACCAAATAGGAAGTCCTGACTGACCGCCACTGTTATCACTTTTATATAGTTACCCATTTACAAAGCACCATACAAACTGTTTCTATGTATGACCAAAACCCAACTTAACTTTGATAAAACACAGCATTGTATTGTTGTCTAGAACGGGTAATCATGTTGCCTCTAGAATTTCAGTGTGCTGGCTGGCAATGCCACTGAAGCAGCTGTGTCGTCTATGGTGCGCCATCTTTCCGTCATCATCCAGAAGGACCTGTTGACCACAGCTGGGAATCTGGCTTCAGTAGTGTCAATTCTGGGTAGTGTTTCATCCCTGTCACTGGTGAATCTCTTCAGGGTGTCTAATTCAACCATGGAGGTATGGTCTGCCTGTGCTTAAAGAGCTCACTCAAAACCACTGTCCCATAGGAGGAAAAGAGGACACAGCTAGAGACACAAGCAGATTCCCTTAGGGATGCCTGAGAACAATAAGAAAGAGAGATTGCTGTGTGGGAGCAAGTATCAACTTTCAAGGAGCTTTTTGGAAAAGGAATAGCTCAGACTAAGACTGACTCTGAAACATACCATCAGTACATCCTTATTGTCCCAATCCAGTTTTAAGAATTTTTTTGCTTTATGGTCTCCTTATTAAACAAAAATCATAAATACATGTGAATTAAAACTTATCATGCCCATGACATGAATTTAGAAAATTCTGGTGTGAGACAATTAATATAGTATGGGAAGGCAGCTAAAAGTAATGTCTTTCAGCCCTCCCTGGTGGCACAGCAGGTTAAAACACAGCACTAAGAAGCTAAAGCCACTTCCGCATGAGTTCAATTCCCACCTGCCCCGGAGATGACTACATGGCGTGGCAGACCTCTTCTGACCCGCCCGCTGCTCCCCTCAGCAGTGTACTTCGTAGATCTGCCTGTTCTGCTCCCCACTCTGTCTCTGGTGAATCCTCTCACCCACCACACCCCTGGCCTGTACCCCAGTTCTGTAAGCATAAATAAATAAAACTTAAGGAAAAATAAAGTAATGTCTCTCTGAGGCTCAGCCTAGGTGGTGATTCAGTCATGTTTGCCCTCTCAAGAGGGAGAAAATGCAGACGAGTGCCACCCCTATGTCAGGATTCTTTCTCCTCCGTGCAGAATGCCCAGAGTTCTCCAGTCTTGGAGTTTATGGGGTGACTGTGACCCAGGTTTCCTAACCAAAGTGTCTCAGCAGAAGCTGAGCTGAATTTCATTGATGAGTTTTAGTATGGTCTTCAGCTGAACCAATTCTCAGTTCGGTCTTCTTAGACTGAATACTAATACTGAATACTATTACTCTTATTTCTCATGTCTGTGTACTCAAAATGCCAACTGGCTTTCATTCTTATATTTCAGGATATCATCAATATAGCTGATCATATCCTTAATTCGGCATCAGTGACTAACTGGACAGTGTTACAGAGGGAGGAAGAACATGCCGGCTCAAGGTTGCTAGAGGCACTGGAAAACATTAGCACTCTGGTACATCCAACAGCTCTTCCTCTAAATTTTTCTCGGAAATTCATTAACTGGAAAGGGATTCCTGTGTCTGAGAGCCAAATCAAGAAAGGTTACAACTATCACACGGAAATTTTTCAAAAAAATAACTCTTTTCCTATCAGAGGCCGCGTGTTAATTGAGTCAGATCAATTCCAGAGGTCCCTTCCAGAAGCTATCATCAGCATGGCCTCCCTGACCCTAGGGAACATTCTACCTATTGCCAAAAATGGAAATGCTCAGGTCAATGGGCCTGTGATATCCACCATCATTCAAAACTATTCCATAAATGAAATTTTTCTGATTTTTTCCAAGATAGAGGCAAACCTGAGCCATCCCCATTGTGTGTTTTGGGATTTCAGTCACTTGCAGTGGAACGTTGCCGGCTGTCACCTAGTGAATGAAACTCAAGACTCGGTGCTGTGTCGATGTACTCACCTGACCTCCTTCTCCATGCTGATGTCGCCCTTTGTCCCTCCTGCCATCCTCCCTGTTGTGAAATGGATCACGTTTGTGGGATTGGGCATCTCCATTGGAAGCCTCATCTTATGCCTGATCATTGAGGCTCTGTTTTGGAAACAGGTCAAAAAAAGCCAGACATCACACACACGTCATATTTGCATGGTGAACATAGTCTTGTGCCTCCTGATTGCTGATGTCTGGTTTATCGTTGCCGCCACCGTGGACACCTCAGCAAACCCCTCTGGAGTCTGCATAGCTGCAGTGTTCTTTACACACTTTTTCTACCTCTCCTTGTTCTTTTGGATGCTTACACTCGGTGCCCTGCTGGCTTATCGCATCCTCTTTGTGTTCCATCACATGGCCATGCCCTTGATGGTAGCTGCTGGGTTCTGTCTGGGCTATGGGTGTCCTTTTATCATATCAGTCATCACAATTGCAGTCACACAACCCAGTAATGAGTACAAAAGAAAAGATGTGTGTTGGCTTAACTGGTCTGACGAAAGCAAACCTCTGTTGGCCTTTGCTGTTCCTGCACTGGCTATTGTGGTTGTGAACTTGGCTGTGGTGTTGTTAGTTCTCATGAAACTCTGGAGATCCCCTGTTGGAGAAAGACTGAGTCAGGATGACAAGGCCATTGTCATTCGCATGGGAAAGAGCCTCCTCATTCTGACCCCTCTGCTGGGGCTCACCTGGGCCTTTGGCATAGGGACAATGGTGGACAGCCAGAATCTGGCTTGGCATGTTGTTTTTGCATTGCTCAATGCATTCCAGGTAAGATTAATAAGAATAACCTATTATACTGTCAGGAACCTAGAATAATTATAGAGATCTGAGGGTAAGATTGCCTTGGAGTTTATCTCATTTTGCTTCCAGCAAGACTAACCAAAACTGCCTACAAACAGTGAATTAAATAAACAATAAAATATTCAAATTTCCCCCAACTTACTCTTATATGGGAGCAGAATATTAGTGTTTTAGCCATGTACTCCATTGGTTTAAATTTGTTAGAGATCGCATAGCTAACATCAGCCCCTCTCACTACTGATTCAGTATTCTTTCCCTTGTATAGACCTCTGAGAAAGGACACCTCTGAGAAAGAAATAAATTGAAATAAGTACTTGTTTGTTCTGAATGGAGCAAAGAAAGCCCTTAAGAGTGCAATAGAGTAGAGGCTGTGAATTGATGTAAACATTTTCTTTTTACTAAAGTTTTATTGGAAAACAGCCACACCCAGGGCCATGGGTATCCTCTCAATGTATCATATGGTCCCTGACTGCTTTTGCTGCAATGGCAGAGCTAAGTAGTTGCAAGAGACTGCATGACCTGCAAAGCCTCACCCACTCGCTGACACTTCACAGAAAATGTTTGTCAACTCCTATACAAAGAATGGTTTTACATATCAAAATCACAGAGTGCAGAAAACAGGTAGACAAAGCAATCCTTAGTCTTTGATGAATCCAGAAGAGTCATCAATCCTGACTCAGCGAAGTTCCTCTCTGCTACCTTAGACAGTGGTCCAGGGGAAAATGTGGAGCCTTTGAGCTCTGGAGCTTAATAGAGGTCTGGAGTCATATCGTCACTTGGGTTCACTTTATCAATTGTATCATCTTTAACAAATTATTTATCTTTCTTTTCCCTTAATTCTTTCGTCTCTTAAAGAGGAATGATAATATTACTAGATCATAGAGTAAATGTGAGGTCTAAATGAGAACGCTTAGCACTTAGCATACATCCTGGCACAGAGTAAACACTCATAGGGGTTTCCTAAGCAGTAGGGTCTCTACCTGATTTGGCACAGTGAATGATTAGGTGGGTAGCATGACCTAATGTTTAGGTTTAGGGAGATTCTGTTGAGGGCTGGCCTGTGGCAAGATGTTGTCTAACCAAGTACCCACTAAGGGTGCTCTGATAAGGAGAATCAAGGCCCATGGCCTGGACTTGGGAGAAAGGCTGCTGATACTGGGTCCCCCACTCAGTACCTGCTGCTCAGTATATTTCTGTTAACTGCCTGGTCTCAAGAAAGATAAAATACACAAATGGAGGCTTAGGGTTTTGTGTTTAGGATGACCCAAAGGAAACAAAATTCTGGTTGCATTTAGAAGTTTATTCACTGAATGCTTTATTTGTTTGTGCATTCAAAAAAAATATTTTTGGGTACTGTGTTCTATCAGGCCCTGTGGAGGTGACATAGTGGTCTTCCTTCAAGAGCCAACCATCCATTTGTGAAAAAAAAAACAAGAAAACACCTTTAAATTTGTGAGCTATAATACAGGAATGCTAAATGTGAATACATTTGTTTCTGATAAAAAGGTAATACATGTGATTTATTACTTTTCTGAAGGGGTTTTTCATCTTATGTTTTGGATTGCTCTTGGACAGTAAGGTATGTATATTTATTGCTCTTTTTGGCCCTTAAACTAGTAATCTAACCTTTTCCTTTCTCTTTTTCAGTTCTGGGGCCCTTATTCATATAGTAAAAGGCTGAATTACTGGCGCTTTTATAATAAAATTCTATAAAATTAGAGAATTATAAGTTCAGACAGGAAATAAGAGAACTAAACATTCACTGCTGATAGCAATGCTTATCTACAACCAATCACATCATATAATGTTGTAGAAAAAGAAATTGTTTCATCTTTAATTTTTCCAACTTTCATTATGGTTTGGCAATAATTTCAGAGAAAAAGTACTTTCCATAGGGATGAATTCCTGGTTACCCCTGTCATTCCTTTAAATAGTTTATCTGGGGCCTCCCTGGTGCACAATGGGTTAAAGCACAGCACTGCACTGCAAGCGAGCAACAGCTGCTTCAGTGGTGACCCACATGGTGCAGCAGACCTCTCCTGCCCTGCCCACTGCTCCCCTCAGCACTCACAGACCTCCATTCTTGAGTATCCTGGTTGCTGCTGCTCCCTTCAGCAGTGTACTTCATCAGTCTGCCTGTTCTGCTCCCCACTCTGTCTCTGGGGAATCCACTCACCTCCCCTGCCTCTCTCGCCTGTACCGCAGTTCTGTATGCATAAATAAAGAAATCTTTTTAAAAATGTGAATGCAATAATTTATCTATTACATAGAGTATGCTTAAATACATTTCTACTTTTATAATTCTAGAGTTTCATATGGTAAATATTAAGTAGCTCCTAATATCAAAGAAAATTTCTAATGAAGAGTGACCAGTATAAGTAAAAGACGATAGAAAAAAATTGTTAAGTAATCTCATTTTGTTATTTTTTCATAGGCATCTAACAATTCTGTTGGGAGGCATAAGACAATAAGCTAATGGAGTTAGTCTTCAGTTAATAAGAAGATAAGAATATTTTATAATTGGCACAATTGTTGCACATCACAAAACCTTTGTTTGTAAAGACCACTTAGGTTCTTGATTAACTAAATAATTCTTATTTGAGTCATTCACATGGTTAGGAAACTGCTTGAAAAATTAATTCAGTTTATAACAATTCTTCCTAATTGCTAGAATCTGAATTATTATGGCTTTTGGTTCTGTTATTCTTTGTTTAATTCTAGTTTTATTTATAGGCTGAGTAAGAGTCTGAGAAAATAAATCCTATCATATATCCATGGTCATAGTCAATGACATGCTTCTAGGAAATACCATTAAATAACAATTCCAACCTGCAGTTTTGTTCTTGACTTGTCTAAATGATTGCATATATGTATCTTCTCAACATTTTTTGTTGCTCTTACAGTTACGACAACTGCTGTTCAACAAGTTGTCTCCTTTAAGTTCTTTGAAGCCACCATCGAAGGTAATTATCTCTACTGCCATTGGTCTGATGCATGAAGTTCCAGTTTTACATTTTTTTCTTCTGTATTCCTACAGAAAATCCACTTTGCCATAAATCTCTTAAGTTCTTATCATCATTATAATTTTTGTATCTGGCACAGTGCCAGATACAAATATGGTCAGATATGGTCAATACTAATTAAAGAGTTGCTGTGTGAGGGAGTGGATAAGTGAATGAATGAGGAGATAGGGAAAGCTACCAGGATACTCAAGCATGGAGGTCTGTGGGCGCTATAGACCAATATCACTTTACTGAGTTTGATGTGTTTCCCAATGCTAAGAAGTAAGGCCCTTTTCTCTGCCTGACACCCTGGACTTTCTGTAGCTCACTGTTCCTTCCCCAGAAAAGTAGAGGAAGACCTTAGTTAACTTCTAATATATTAAATGCTCCTTTGAATTTTCTTTCTTTCGTTTGGTAAAACTGACTTTGTCTCTTTAAGTTTTAGCTTCTAAATCTACACATTGACATTTGTTTGTATGGAAAAGGATTCCTATTTCTTACTTTGCTACAAAAGTACAACTCATTTATGGAAGTATAATTAGAAACACAAGTACTTGTATGAGTTAGATCTTTGTCTTTTAGTAAGATACCTAGGGACTTTCAGAAAGGAAAGATTTCTGTACTAGATAAAAGTTAACTCTCTTAAGTGTATCATGACTTTCCTGGATACTTAGAGAATTTAGAAGGGATAATATAACCTTCTGGAATAAAAGTCTGTGCGGAAAATAGCCTCTGACATTAAAGCGTTGTGCTGAGTCTGCATTTCATAGTGGAGGTCACAGCTGTGAATTAGAGATTAGTGGCCCGTGTCCTATGAACCTTCTCTGTATTTCTGAGTCAGTAACCAACTGACCTTATGATCTTTGGAAAGTCACTTAGTACCTTTAGTTTCCAATTTTCTCAACTGTAAAATTGAATGTTGGATTAGTTACTCAAAGCAGAAACTACCATTTTGTGATTTTGATTTTATGTTTTAAAAAACTAAAAGTCCTTGAACCAGAAAATATGACACTAATGAATCATTCTCTACTCAAGAAAAATAGAAGTTACAGCAGGTGTGACTACATTAAAAAAGTAACAGAGAGAGTTAAGTCACTCCCCACCCAATAAAGCAGGAAATCAGAATTTTTCTCCATTGAGAACCAGAGGGAAAATACCCAAAGGTAAAATAAAACAAAGACAAAAGTGATGATTCCTGACAGTGTTTTCTTTCCCTGTCTCTAGTGTCAAATCATCAGAAAGCAATGGCCATCATGAGGGCTATATTTCTCTTGGATTTGTATTCTTTCTTTGATTATGTTTTCAAATCAAATTGATAAAAACAGGATTTTGTTAGCTGGATAGAAGGCTCAGTTACTTTAAAATAAATGTACCATTGCAGAAGAAAAGATGAGTATTTGCAATTTTCTGAGGGAATTTGAAGGAAATAGAGGAACCGAGATTAAAGTGGTTAAAGAACCAGACAGGAGGAAGTGATAGCCATCCTCTTAAGAACCTGGTTTGTAAGAGAGAAGGTGGGGACCAGATGCAGATAAAGGAGCTGAGTGGGCAGTATGTGAGCAAGGCCATAGACTGGGAAGAATGAGCCAGCAAAGACAGAGTTTGAAAAGCCAATGAGAAAGGGGAGATCACTGGTGGGTGAAGATTGCAGCAAGGGGGACCAAGTGACTGGACTGAAGCTGGAAGTTCAGAGCAGCAGGGCCAGAATGGCGTCTTATTTTTATTTTTAAAATAAGAGGCAATTGGGGTCTCCCTGGTGGCGAGTGTTACACTATCAAGCTTACGCCAAGCTGGTTAAGTGTCACACTATCAAGCTTACGCCAGCCACTGCGGCCTGAGTTCAACCTCTAGTCAACCCCCTACCCATGGTGCAGCCCACCTCTCCTGTCTCTCCTGCTGCTCCCCTCAGCAATAAGATGTTAAATTAGTAAGGAGATAAACTTATGAATGAGAAAGGATATACTGTATCTTCATTTTTTCATCTGTTGCAATAAGTACCTGCTCTTTATTTAGAATATTTTACTTTAGTTTGATAAAGCAGTTTTTCAAATGTTGAACTCTGGCTAGCTTCTGAATCAAAGACTGAAGTGTTGTTCACAAAGAGAGTTGAATACTAAGATGAGTAAGAGCGAGACCAAGTTTTCCTAGACACCATTTTTACTAGTGATAAATGTGTAAGCCAAAGAAATGTAAGACAGACATGAAAAAAAGATAATGTGTCCTTTAGAACAGTTTCCTAGTTTGTTGTTAAAAGTTATAAGAGGACTGGCCCTCCCTGGTGGCGCAGCGGGTTAAAGCACAGCACTGAGAATCTGAGGCCACTTCCGCATGAGTTCGATTCCCGCCCTGCCCCGGAGGAGACCACATGGCGAGCCAGACCTCTCCTGACCCGCGCGCTGCTTCCCTCAGCAGTGTACTTCGTCAATCTGCCTGTTCTGCTCCCCACTCTGTCTCTGGTGAAGCCTCTCACCGCCCCTGAGCCTCTGGCCTGTACCCCAGTTCTGTATGAATAAATAAATAAATCTTAAAAAAAAAAAAGTTATAAGAGGACTAAAGCCAAAAATGCCTTAGAAGTAAGCTCTTAGGCATATTCTAATAGATTAAAGCAGAATAAAGTATACAGAAGGTAATGATCTAATTTCTTGAAAAGAGAATTGTGAGACAGATGGAATAAAGGATCACAATGACATCATGAAGTCAGGGAAGGCAGACCATCACTAAAAGGAGACTATTAATGTCTAAATGACTTGTTTTTCTTTTGTGCAGCAAAACTCATCAGATGTACTTGCCAGACCTAAATTCAACCCACTGCAACAAAAAGGTGAGTTACAATAAGCCAAGGATATTAAAGGAGGGAAGAGAGGCTATTTATTCAATGACTCCTTTTTCAAGTTCATGTGAGAAGTGTGGGTGGGCGTGGCACTGATTCACTCACTGGACTGTCACTCAGAGCAGCCAGGACAGTATTGGGGACTTAATGCTCATAGAGACTAGAGAGTGTCACTTGTAATTTCATCACAAATGACTGCCATTTCCTCAGGTAGACAGTATGTGAGTCCATGGCACTGATCACGGCGGGCTGCTGGGTGAGCTCACTCATACCAATCATGTCCTTACTGGGCATCACGCCTTCCATACCAACTGCGAGAAATGGCATGAGGGCCAATGTGGGGCCACAATGCTGTGTCCCTCAGAGGAGAGTTCCCTCTACCTGCTACCTTAAGAAAACACCGCCTTGGGCCCTCCATGGTGGCACAGTGGGTTAAAGCACAGCACTACAAAAATTAAAAATAAAGCACAAGTTTGATTCTGGGTAGGGAGGTGACCCTCACAGCATGGCAAACCTCTCCTGACCTCTCCTGACCTGCCCACTGCTCCCCACAGTTGTGTACTACATCAGTCAGCCTATTCTGCCTATTCTGGTAAACACTCTCACTGCCCTGCACCTCTGGTGGTACCCTGGCTCTGTATGCATAGACAGATAAATCTTTGGGAAAAGAAAGCATTCTTCTCTCCATCTAAGATATGCATTCTTCTTATACTCTTTCATTAGCTATTGCTGAAGTTAATGCTATTCAGCTACTGGAAAACTGATATTTAAACATTGCCAGCAGTATCAGTATTCCTGGAGTAGAAGGGTGGAATGCAGGGACTGAGGAGAAAATATACATTGCAAGTTAAGTTAAAGTCATGTGTTAGTGGAGTCCCATCAAGTAAGTTACTATCCTTATTAAGGTCAGGAAAATGGGCAACTCATTTTATATTTACATCATAATTATCTGAATTCCAGATACAGTTCAAATGTCTGAACTTGAAATGGTGTTTTCATCCCAAAATGTTTAATGTGCTTATTCTGAGCCCTTGGGTCCTGTTTTCACTCCCAAGCACCCCGAGTGATTTTACAAACCTCCCTACCTTTTTGGATGTTTGTTCCTTGTCCATAAAATGAAAAACTAAAGAGATCACAGTTTCCACCAGTCACCTTCTATGATCTCAAATCTACTTTCTCTCCTTTCCCAGCAATGTCTGAAGAAAATGACACTTTTTGTTCTCAAATGAGAAATGTGTGACAAAGGCGAGCTTCCATGGATTAATGCTGTCTCTCCACCAAATGCATTCTGTGTCTTTCTTTAGCATCTCCTAACACTGTCCAGAGTTGCAGTGAAATGCATACACTTATATTAATTTTGTTCTCATATTTAATCCTAGCATAGTAACAAGAATTCTTATCCCCTTTTCCCTCCCTTAGGCACTTACGCGCTTTCTCATACTAGAGATTCCTCTGGCAACATCATGCTGACACAGTTTTTATCAACCGAATAAGTCTGGGAACCATAAAATCAAGGAAAAAAATTTTTGGAACAACTTGACATTTAGATCTAAATGTCAGGGAAGAAATTATGCTCAATATGAGATGGAATTTTCTGATTTTGGAGCCTGGAAGTAAAATGAGGAGGTTTCAACACTTTCATCACTGCCCTCTTTATCTTCAATTAAATGGAAAGATTTATTTCCATGTGGTGTGAGTCAAATGAATTGCTTCATAAATGTAGAAAAGTGGGTCCTGTTGGAAATTTTGTCCTCTGCAATTACCTCTCATTGCCACAAGCTACAGTTTCCTTTTTCATAAAATAAGATTATTTATGTGGTATTTCCAAGAAGCAAACTTCATGAAATCACCTTTGATAATTTGTTGGACCATGTCCGCTTTCTTATCAAAAAGTCATTGGTGCACATTTCCTAAAGAAATAGTGTATCCTTTCCAAATTTTCCAGTTGGATTTTATGCTTGTTTATACTTTTTAAATTAAGCCACTTAATATTGTAAGGTCACCAGAGTAAACTAAAAACTTCCATTTCAAATAGCACTGAATTTGATGTAGCACATGGCTGTTAGTCGGGAGTTTAAATGTGTGATTTCATATAGGATGTAGAATTTTCAGTTTACACTTTCATTGGGTCCCCATTTCAGTGAAGTGACAGTCTGGCAGGCTGAGTCCTCTGACAAGAAGGTGGAGATTTGTAGAGGGACATATCTCACCAAAGACTGAGAAGCCAGTAAAGGGGAACTGGGACTTTTAGGAATTTGGGTTCTTAGTCCATTTCTACAGCTTGAAGATTATCTGCCATCCTATAAAAGCTTTATGAATTTAATTATGTGGTTTCTTACTCCCAGAACTCTCTCTGGGCAAGAGGCAAATTGATGGAGTGTTCAGTTGTCAGCTTCCAGGTAAACTTTAAAAATACCTTGGTTTCTATCATAATAAACTGTCAGTATTTTGGGGAGTTATTTCCTGGCAGAACCAGTACCACTATGGGATGAGATACAGAGCAGCCAGTGAAAAGTCACAACATGACCACAGCATGAAGTGGCCAGCCTCCCTCCATACTTCTGGCACTCTTATTCACCTGAGTTTTAGCCCTGACTGCAGGTTCTTTGATTCATCCTTGTTCCTGAAGTTTCCTAAAAATTTGCAGTGGTCATTTTTTAAAGCAAATGTTGACTTCTCTTGACAATAATTGTGATGATGCCACTGACAAAGACCATGGGGTTGGCATGAAGCTGAGAAAGCAGAAGTGGCAACATCTGTAGAGTGCTCACTGTGTCCCAAGCTCTAGTCTCAGCTCCTCACATGTATTCATTTTTTAAATCTTCACAACAAGCTTGTGGGGTGGAGAATGTTTTGGTCTCAGTTTTATAGCTGGACACTAAGACACAAAGACAAAGGACATTAAATAGTGTGAGAAGGGCAACATGGGTGGCAAATGACCAAACCAGAATCACAGTTATAGTAAGAAGCGGGTTATATAAAGTCAGACTAGAAGGGAAAGGCTTTGCTTGTTTAATTGTATTTTGAATCTTAGATTTTTGGGTCTGTAAATGATCTCCGGCATCATCTAGTCACTTTTTTGTATGTAGTCCTAATGTCTTAAATTTCAGCAACCAGTGATCATAAAATAAAGTCATGTCCACCTAAAACTTGGTTTTAATGGAAGTAATATTGGTTTATAACATTATGTGGATTTCAGGGATACCACATTAAATGTTCCCATCTATATAGACTACATTATGATCACCACCAAAAGTCTAGCTTCCATTCACCACCAAAGAATTCACATCCTTAAACCGATTCCTTCTCCCCACCCTCCTTCCCTTTGATGACCACCATTTTGTTCTCATAAGAATTTTGTTTGCTCATTTGTTTTGTTTATTGGTCTATCATAAATGAGTATAAGAACATAGTGTTGGGGGCCCTCCCTGTTGGCATACCAGGTTAAAGCACAGCACTAAGAAGCTTAAGCCACTTCCACATGAGTTCAATCCCCGCCAGCCCTGGAAGTGACCCACATGGTGCAGCAGACCTCTCCTGACCCACCCGCTGCTCCCCTCAGCAGTGGACTTTGTCGATTTGCCTGTTCTGCTCCCCACTTGGCCTCTGGTGAATCTTCTCACCCTCTGCATCCCTGGCCTGTATTCCAGTTCTGTATGAAGAAATAAACAAATCTTTTTTTAAAAAAATGTAAATTAAAAAAAAAAAGAACATAGTGTTGGGCCCTCTGTGGTGGTGCAGCAGGTAAGTCATAGCACTGCAAGCAAGCAGTTGCTGCTTCACTGCTAGTTTGATCCCCAGCCCGGGAGGTGACCCATATGGCGCGGCAGACCTCTCCTGACCTGCTCCCATTAGCAGTGTACTTCATCAATCTGCCTGTTCTTCTCCCTACTCTGTCTCTGGTGAATCCTCTCACCACCCCTGTACCTCTAGCCTATACCAGTTCTATATGCATAAATAAATAAATCTTTTTTTTAAAAAAGAACATAGTGTTTGCCTTTCTCTGACTTACTTATTTCACTGCACATAACACCATTTAGTCCAACTATGTTAATGCAAAGGGGAGGATTTTATCATTTAACATGAGTGGTGCTGTGATCTGAGCATGTTGGAGTAATGTGTGGAACATATTTGGTGTGAAGGAGAGGCTCTCCTCCCAGCAAAAGTTTTGTAAGGATGGTGAGTGACAAAAAATTAAAATGTGTTTATTCATCTACCATATGCCATGATTGTTGAAACATTGATGACACAGATACTCACCTCAGGTCCTTCTGCAAATGTCACTAAAATAATAATAAAAGAAAACAAGAGAAAGACATTATACTAGTTCCTAGTATTGTGTAAAAAATTGGCACCTACTGAATAGCTTAAAACAATGAACATTTATTTTCTCTTAGACTTCATGAGTCTGGAGTCTAGCACAGTCTAGCTGGTTCCCTGGTCACCGTCTCATGGGCTATAATCTGGGTGCTGACTGGGTGGTATTTTTATCTGGATACTTGGAAGAATCCACTTCCAACTTATCCAGACTGTTGATAAGAGTTCATTCCCGGCCCTCCCTGGTGGCGCAGTGGGTTAAAGCACAGCACTGAGAATCTAAAGCCGCTTCCGCATGAGTTCGATTCCTGCCTGCCCAGGAGGTGACCACATGGCGTGGCAGACCTCTCCTGACCTTCCCGCTGCTCCCCTCAGCAGTGTACTTCGTCGATCTGCCTGTTCTGCTCCCCACTCTGTCTCTGGTGAAGCCTCTCACCCCCCGCATCTCTGGCCTGTACCCCGGTTCTATATAAATAAATAAATCTTTAAAAAAAAAAAAAGAGTTCATTCCCTTGAAATTGAGTGAAGAAAAACCATGATTCTTTCCTAATGATTGACCAATGAGGATCCTGAGATCCTTGAGTCTATCTTGCCACTTGGGGTTCTCCAACATGACCACTTACATCATTCAGCTTGCAAGGAGAATGTCACACTAGTCTGTTTTTCACGATGATCTTGTAAAATATAAAGCTATCGGGGCATGCCATTCAGCAACTTTTGCCACAGTCTATTAATGAGATGTAAGTCACACATCCTGGCCACAATGAAGGGGAAGGAACTTCAGAGATGTGAGCACCTGCAGGAAGTCCTCACTGGTGGTCACAAAATGAGTCCCGAGGACAGGGAGTGAGGGAGGAGATGATAGCAACAAAACTTCAGAAAGTTGGCAAGGTGAGTGCTAACTGGCTTCGTAAACTCAAGAAAAGCTAAATATTAAGTCAATGGTGATAAAAGCCAAGAAGCAACCTGTTTTCTCCTGCAAAATTCTCCCAAGAAACTCAGGATTTGACAGCAGCAGCTGCTTAAGAAATGGAGTGAATATGGAACTAATCAGTATAGTTGGATCAACTGAGGAGACAAGAATCTTGGATCCCTCTCGAATTCCAGGCAGTCAAGCAAATACCTGCTCTTCCACCTTAGCAATAAACTATATAGAGATGTGGGGGGGAATGGGATTTCCAGACTGGGAGACATCGGACATAGATGAAGAAGTTTACCATCCAGAGAACAAGATATTTGGTAAAAATTAACCTTTAACAACAGCAGCAAAGCTTACATCCTCTAGGCAAGAGATTGGGACAGTGTACCCTGGAGAATCTGATCATGGCAGGTAAAAACATTCAGTGCTACAGACTTTGGATATTTGCTAATGAAATGTTTATCCAGATCACTCTCAGTGAAGCCAAGAGTCATCACAACCCACTTGCACACAGACATTCCAATCAGCTCTGTAATGCGTCACTCTTAAATATAACTAAACTGTCATGGATCACTAGGCACTTTAGGAAAGCATCCAGTATTAGATGAAGAAGTCAAACAAATAAAAAACAGGCAGTACGATCGAGTATAGTGTTATCTACAAGCCTATATTATAGTCTCAACAAAGGAGTGAAGGAGAAAAGAGAGAAAAGCAATTTGAGTGAAAAATAAGGAGGGGGCGGACTGGGATCAATATTATCCTCCAATATATTGTCTTTAAGAATAGAAGGAATATTCAGGCAACAGAGATAACTTTGAAACAAAAATAACAAGTAAGATACTTCAATAGGAGTGTTGAAGATAAAGTTATGCAGTGACGTAGAAAACAGAAATAAAAAGATATAAAAGACAATTAGAGAAGACTAGTTGGGTGTCAGTATTTGAATAATAGGATTTGCAGAAAGAAAGCTAGAGGAAAAGAAGAAAATACATTGTAAAATATATAGAGAGGATAATTTGATCACTAAGGGACACAAACTTCTCAATTGGAATACACCACCAAACACCCAATGTGATGGGTGAAAATAGACCCACCTCTCTGTGATCTGATATTGGTGTCCCTCCAAACCCATGTGCTAATACCCACCCTCCAAGGTGGATACTAGGAAGTCTTAGGTGAGATGTTGGGAGTCCCCATGAGAGGCATTAGTACTCCTACACAAGAAACCCCACAGAGTGCCTTAGTCCTCTCACCACA